CAAAATATATATATGAAACTTATCGAATTTCCAGTAGAATGCATGCGGCAACCAAAAGATCGATAAGGTAAAGGACCTAAAGCTAAGAACTTTTAACCTACACATGAAAAGAAGAAGAAGGGGAAGATAAAGCTCAATCCTTTCCTTAACCTTCAAACAAACAAACAAAAAAGTCTCAACCTTTTCATCCTGCAAATAGAAAGAACAGGAAGAGGAAGGAAATGGACTCTCCAATCCTTTAAAACCCAAAAGAAGAGGATGAAGTAGATTAGTGAGAGGTGAGCTCGTAGATGATGAGTTGCAATTTTCTTCTATGCGTGACTTACTTGTTAATGTAAAATACCTCTAACTCAATAACTCATTTCAAAACACTTCAGAGAAAGAAATGCTTGTAGAATATGCATGTTGCTATTTCTTTTATGGTTGAGTTACTTCTTACATTAAAATAATCTAACTCAATAACTCATTTCAAAACGCTTATAGAGAAAGGGAGGCTTGTAGAAGATGCATGTTGAAAATTGTCCAAATCAAGAAATGAAAAACCCCAAAGATGGGGTTTAGTAGCTGCAAATTGGGCCACTAAAATTCCCTCTTTAAATAGACTTAATCTTGATAACGAGATATGAGTTGTTTGGATGTGTTCATCGTAAAAATATTTGAGATCAAATTATAGGTAGTTTTGACATTCGAGAACATATTTCGCAAGGCCCCATTTGGGTGTTCATCGTATCATTATTTGAAATAAAATTATAGGTAATTTGACATCCGAGGACATATTTACCAAGGCCCCATTTCATATTTACCAAGGCCCCATTGGGTTCCCGGAAATGAGTATCCAGGGGAGATGCCTTTCCTGGAATTAGTATCTTATGGAATTGACATCTCTTAAAAGTCATTTTCTTATCCTTTCCTCATATCTTTGGTCCAGTGCAGAGAGCAGAGAGCTCTCTCTTCAAACCCTGACACCATGCTCTATGAACGCCATAGCTCTCTCTGTCTCTGCATTTTCTCTCCCTCTCTGCCCTATTCCCCATTGTCTTTCAAAACGCCATTACTCTCTCACACCTTCTCTCTCTCTAAACACCACCAAGCTCTTGATTCTACTTCGTAACATGCTCTGATTACTAGCTTATCAGGGTTTATTCAGATAATTAATAAATAAAGCTCGGATAATGGAACCCAATCTAGTTTAGATGACACCCAAGCAGCAAAATTCAGCAATCAAAGATCCCAAAACTAAACTCTAGAGTAAAGGAAAACATGGGCTTCAATTTAAAACCAGAATTGATCAGAGAAACCAGTTGAGAAGGCACGATCCAATGCACTGTACAGCCTTTATCATAAGACATGGATTCCCGTACCGTACAACGCTCTATTTAAAATTTTGGACGCGTTTTTTAACTGTTGCAGGGTTGTCAATAAAGGTCACGCCTTTAGAGAATGAAGAGCAAAATTTATAGAGAGAGGAAAGCGCGGAAAAGTACCTCCAGAAAGCACTGTTTCGAAAAGAGCATCCTAGAGAGAGAAAGCGGGCTCTCTCAGTATCTTGATTAATCACAATTGCATGCCTCCCTAGACGAGTCTTCTGTCTATTTTCTTTATACATAAAAATCTTTATCTCGATTTTTCATTCCCTCTCTCTTTTCTCTTTCTAAAAAGGAGAGAAAAGCAGAAGAGATGAGGGAGGTTTGGTAGAGAAATGAGAGATTTTGGTAGGGTTTCATAGGTTTGATTTTCTCCAAAACGCCTAAACCAACCAGGAAGAAAATTAGCACGGAAAACTAAGTCTTGTCAACTCAATTTTCTCTCCAAAATTTTCTCTAAATCAAACAGAAGTAAAAGCAGTGGACCCGTACTTAAACCCTTCTATAACTACTTCTAAAGCAAACCCTAAACCCTTCCAATGAAATTCCCCACTCTCTTAACTATTTATTTTTAGTAACAACCTTAAAAGCTCATGTGATATCCATCAATCCATTGTTAAATGAAAAAAGTTCACATAAGGTTGCAAAAAATTTTTAGAAACATCAATAGGCGAAATTGAATAGTATTTTCCCTCGTTATAGACTTGTTATGTCCATTGTGATTTTGTTTTAAAAATTTCTAAAAATATATGGGAGTCATGATGGTTGCACATGTTTTTTTGCATGAAAAATAACGCCACGAACATGCTTATGTTGTAGTCTTTTAATCCACACTGTCTAAAAAAATTGGATGACACCAAGCTTATGGACAAAAATACTGTTCATTTTCATCCAAGGGCATGCCATAGTGGCTTCTTAAGGTTGCAACATTATTAAATATTAATTTTGAAAAAAATAGTTTCCCTTCAAACAAGGTCATAGTTAAAATTTAAAAATACAAAAGAATTAAAACATTATTTTTTAATGTACTAATATCAAGCTATTATTGTTCTATGCAGGTGATGTCAGTCACATCTTTATATAGACCACATCATTCTCTATTATTTCTAATAAGTACTTGTTTTATTAAGAACGTTTACCCCTAAACAACAAAGTTATTATATTATAGGATAAGTGTATCTGACACGCTACATAGGAAAAACACAAGAAAAACCATTTTCAATAAGAAAAAGTTTATATAAAATTGCAACTTTAAACTGTAAAATAAAGTGTATCTCAAAAATCCATCAAAAAATGATGTTTTGATGTTGGGAAACCTCTAATTGATTATCTCGATAGAAAAATAAAGATTTTGAATACAAAAAACAGTGCATCTTATAGAATATTCTCTAGACCATCCATGTCCACGATTTTCATGTGTTTATATAGATCTACTTGACTTGAACTATTTTTTGAGTTAAAAAATTTATAACTAGAGATGAAACTAGATTCTCAAGCATCTTTACAAATTTTTTATACTAAAATTACATCTTATGATAAAATTTAGAGATACGCCTTTCTTGGATTGTTTAAGGTAAGATAAATACCAAAAAATAATCCCTAAAATACTTGAAAATAAGTAAGGTGACCACAAAATTTTGCTGGAAGAAGTAGTTCCGAAGTCGAAAGCCCTATAATAGCGTAACAATCCATATTCAACAATAATAACGAAATTTAAAATTCTAAAAATAGTGTAGATTGAGTAAACTATAAACACTTCAAAATATTGAAAATAGACAGTCCAAATAACTTGTTACAAGATGAACTATTTTTCGAGCTTAAAATTGTTTTTCTCTTTAAAACATGCATGTCTAAGTGAAGATGATCAATTGGAAAGCTTTTCAACTTTGGCACACTCTTTTCTACTGGATTTTTTAGGTGCATACTACATCTATAGCATAGGTTGCAACCTTGTATAGACTTACCTATTTAAAGTGGTTATATTATCTGACAATACCGCCAAAGAAAGAGGATCCCATAGATAAAGGTTTACTATTTAAATTTCATTTCATAAAAGTACGGCAAAAAATTTGTCCATTATATCTTTGAAGAAAAATTTATATAGAGGCGAAATCAAATTAGAGACCACCTCCAAAATATCATCAAATTGATCACCTCAACATCAAGATGTATGGATATGAGAAAAAAATGGACTTCAAGTTTTAGAAATAGTGCATCGTGTAACATATTTTTGGACCCTCAATTTTCAAGTTTTCATAGATCTACTAGATCTACACTATTTTTTAAGCTTTAAATTTTATAATTAAATATAACAATATATTCCAAGGCTATCACAAAGATTTCCGGTATTAAAACCACAGTTCTCGATACTATTTGAAGGTGCACTTTACTTTGATTGTTTAGAGTGTCGGCTCTATACAAACTGCACCCTTTTTTAAATTATCATTATTTTAAATTTGGAAATCCATAAAAAGGCATTTTAATAATTTGGCCTATTTAAATGGCTCAAGATAACTACAAAAAATACTTAGCGCTCAGGTTTGGGAAAATAAAAATATTATACGACTAAAATACCCCTAGTTATTCCGAATTAGCAATATGGAACTATGGGATATTTTCTTCACTATTCCAAACCGTGAACAACTGTGGGTATTCTCAACTTTGTCTCAAACCACATAAATAAGCTAAATTTGCCAAAATGTTCTTATTATTCACGATTATCAAACATTTTGAGGAGGTATATTTACAAAAAAAAAGAAAAGAAAAAGAAGTGAACTCCAAAATAATAAATGAGATATTTGAACCCTTTAATGATGCGAGGGCTTTACATGTAACCCCACACAAATATAAAGTATACTTGAACCTTGCTCTTAGCCGTTAGGCAGCTGGGCTATCTTGACTAAAAAACTCTCAAAATTTGACCTTGATCCGATGGCTCAGACTATTTTATTTTTAATCTTTATTCTATAAATCATTTTGGACAAAACCCGACAGACTCAAATGATAAAAAAATAAATAAATAGGATACTCCCGTAATGTAAAATTACCAAAATCCCCTAAAACTTATGGTGGCATTTTAATCGTTATTTTCACAACAAATTTTTTTTTTTTTCCTGCTAGGTGCACTCCAATGAGTAGACGTCCTGAACTTACCTTTTTAAACTTTAGTACAAAAAGAAACTAAACATAAAAAAAAAAAAATTCATAACATTGCAACGAGCAATCGTGGTCGTCCATTCAAATCGAATGGTTGAGAAATAAAGCCACATATAATTCATATATGAAGGGGATCGCATAGAAAGTTTTCTCTTTAACGATATTTTTGTCCGCAACCTTATTAAACTCCTAATACTCTACAACAGTCTATTTACATTGGGTAGTATAGATTTGACGCATTTAAAAGCGTCAAAATTTACAAGCCTTTTAAGGCCAACACATAACGTACTGTGTCATAGTAAAATGGTTGGCGTAGAATACTACAGCTTTACTTCAATAAGTAATTTTGCTTCCCTATAAGAACTTCGTTTCCTAGTCTTTGCATTATCCCTTGTTCTCTGATTTTCTTAACCCCTTCTTTTTACTTTGTTTTTTGAACCCAGGAAAACAAACATAGAGTAGGACAATTTAGCCATTCCCTGAAATCAAATTCAATATAAATTTATTTGTTATTTAAAAGGCTAGCAGGTGTATCGTGACGTTCTTTAAAAAAATTATTCAAGGCATTGTTGCTTTGGAAAATACGTTCTACGATATAACAAACAATGCAATGTGAATTGCACAACTGCATCGTAGAGGGGAAATTGGAAAGGAAAGAGAGATGGGTTGAAAAGAGAATTCATAAACAAAGGGAACAATGGCTACATTTCCATGGAAGCGGAGGGCTAGTAAAGGAGCTCCTCGTAAACAGGATCGACTCTGTTTTCCCACTTCCCATGATACAAATCTAGAAGCTTCTCTGCGGGCGTCACACCTGAGTAAAAATGATAATCTGAATCATTCGGAATTTCAGTAGTTCAATGCCCTCTCTCACTCTCTCTCTGCGCACGCACACGTGTGTGACTGCTGTATTGTACAGTATATATGCACAAACATATTTTTATTGTGTGAACTAACTCTTCAGGCTACAGCTACACCATGGAAAAGGAATTGAACTATTCAACTCTTTACTAGTGCTAGCAGCAGTACCTGTTCTAACAACTTCGGCAACTTCGTTGAGGAATCCAGTTTCCTTGTAACCTCTTCTCTCCAAACCTTCCTGAAAATCACAAATACCTATGTGAGAGGAAGCCCACAAAGTAATCTTTTGTGGGTGGGTGGGCGGGCGCAAATATGGATTATTTATCCCTAGTCCTAATTTACTTTTTACTTCCATTAGTCTGGGCATGCTTTGACAATGCTCCGTTAATTAATTTGTTACTGATGAAATTTGAAAGTAAATCTGAATCGTACAGGAGAAATAAGCAAAAATTCAGAAAGAAAAGAACTTACCTTGGCCAGTTTTACAACATCTTGTGCAACATGTCTCAGTAAGCCATCTCGAAATGGTGTCCTCAGACCAGTCTTAGGTATCTGTAAACCTTAATAAATAGTTCTTTTAAGGGCTTTGGCAAATATTCACAGACAAAGGTGGTACTTTTGAAGGCAAAAGTCAAAGGCCATGTTCAAGAGAAAATAATAAACAAACTTCTTTGAAAAAACAAAAACAAACTCTTAACAAGATTTAAGGTCTGAATCTATCAAGATCGAGTCACTGACTATCAGTAAGGATGACAAGTGCTAATCTCAGTTTTCCATTCCTCAATTCAATAATTAAACTGTATCTCCAAGTTATTCTTTTCTTTCCTTGATCATGGTCAACGAGTTTCAATTACGAGGTGGGTATTGAAGAGAAGGGGCGAATGACTTTTACTACTTGTTAAATACATGTGAGTAATACTCGTATCCACGATGATAACGTCTTTGACAATTACTCTGTTCTAAACATTTTCTAAATGTAAATATTAGTATAAAAAAATAGAAATTTTCTAAATGTTTCCAGTATTTTCACCATCTTTGTATTTTCTACTTAAAATATTTTACTTTAGTCCAAGGCTCCAAAACTGTTTCTCTGTTTTTGATGAACTAGCTTTTGTATTGATTGTATAAGATGCCTAGTTACCAGGATCCATCGATCAATGGGTTAATCTGCTCCAGAATCCCAATCACGCGCTCCAGGGAAGGGAATCTCACTCTATGATTCTTAGATTTGAAATCTCAATCCTTCCTATTGGGATAGAGGCTTTGAGTTAGATGGGATCGAGATTCCCTAAGATTGCAATGTAATATAGCTGTGTAGTATAGTATAGTATAATCTAGCAATGCGTATAGTATATTAGTATAGTAAGCAATATGGTATAGTATAGTAGTACATACTATATAGCCGAGACATTAGATTTACATATAGTAGCATATAGTAAAGTATAGATGAATACGGTATATAGCATGCTATTATCGTATGGTATAACAATATGGTATTGTCTAATAATGAGGTATATTATAATAGCACTATAATATACTGTGCTACCATACTAGTTAACTGCTCTCGAGGGCCTTGATTTTTAACTAGATGGAGCTCGGTCCTATATAAACTATCATTTAGTCCCAATTAAGTATGGATCAAGCTCCCTTGAGATCCCCAGATTTCAGGGCGTAAGAACCACGAACACTACCATAGGGAACTTCCTGCATGCCACGATCCCAAACCCGGATCTGATTTGATCCTGATCCTGGTAACCATGATTAAGATGTACATTGACACATGAAAGAGCATAAACAAAATTGTGCGGTTAAAAAAAAAATGGATGGGGCCATAGCAGGAACCCTCAAGTGGGTTCTGCCAATTGTCGCCGAAGGATTAGCAAGGAGGTCGCCAGACCCTTTGGCTATGGAACCCACAATGGAGTCCACCCCTTTCCACATGTGACTAGAGGAAACTTGTTGAGAGTAGCAAATATGAAAGATGTGGTCATAAGTACTCCCAATCTCAAGGGATATAAGAAGGACCTGGTGGGCAGCGACTTTGCATTGGATAATGGAGTTTGCCTCTCCAAAATCTGAGGAAAAGAAACTTGTGAGAGTTGCAAATATGAAGGATCTGGTTGAAATTCTTTCTCAATCTCCAGGAACATGGGAAGGACCATACGGGCAGTGATATTGCATTGGATGGAAAGAAGGGAGATCAACTCATCTTTTCAGCACATGATGCATGGGTAAGGGGCAAAAAGTCCTATTTTGGGGTTTGGTCAAGCTCAGAGCCTTATTTGAAATTGCTAGCCAAATGAGGGCCCCAATTTTGAGGGGTGCAGATGTGCTCTAAGCCCTGCTAGCTGTGGCAAGTTCCAGACTTGGATAGGCACTGAAGATTCTCTTCGCAACGAAATAGAAAGAGAGCAAAAAACAATCTCGCAACATTGGTCCATATTGGTGCCATGGACAACAAAATATGCAATGGTTTATCTTATTCATCTTACTCTGTAGAATTACAATAGAATGAAATCCATTGAGACCAATTTGGACACCCACAACGATTAAATGTAAACTTCATGAAAAGAGGGAAAAGAAATAAACAGAATATAGAAAAACTTTTATGCGCATTTTCTGGATAATAGTCTGGCCACTGAACTATATTTTGCCACGGGTTACTGACCTTCGTCCTTAACATCTGTCTTTCCTCAACTGTCCAGTCATAGGTCATGTCTAATACTGTTTGTAACGCAACCTCATCATATAACAAACCCACCTGCATATGATTACATGAATAAGTTTCATGTTGAGTTGAATATGCCTAACCCCAAGGAACATGAATACAACAATAGAAACAATATTGCTCTCTTTTTTTAATAGAATATGATATGAGCTGGTAATTCAAATCAAATATACATACCATTAAAATGATATATATACATGGCCGTCCATATTTATAAAAAAAAAGAAAAAGAAAGATGGTTACCCAAAATGCAGGCAATGCGCACAATCGTCGCCAAGGGCCTCCATCTGCACCTCTCATCTCCAAGTACCTCTTCAGCCGGACCTGCAATGATAGTGAACGATACAATATGGGCACCAATACCATTTACAAATTCCCACAGCCAACAATTTCCAACGTGTTTCTTGCAATTTGTTTTTTTGAGGAAGAGGTTAAAGGATGTACTTCAGGAAAGATTGTCGTTAAGTGATTCTCCCAATCATTGAGGGTCGGTAGTTCTCCAGGAATTGGAGGTAGCTTACCAGCCATAAAATCCTACACGAAAGCTCAAATATTGACATTTCAAAAAGGTCCATTAGAAACAAATATTACATTGCCATAAGGCCAGGAAAGAACGAGAAGCTAGGTAGACGGCGAACCCGAAATGACATCCCACTGCAATTTATATACTTCTTATTCCGATAGACAAAATACATAGGAACATCAAGAGCATAATCCACATAGCGTTCAAACCTACAGCAAAACAGACAAGAAACACCACAGAAACATCATTAATCAAGTGGATATCTTTAATGTTTCTCAAGATTAATCAATCAGAATGTACATATCAGAAAAATAAAAGGCTGAGGATTCCAGTTAAGAGCATCAACAAACAACAATAACGAATATGCAAAAAATATGAATAGACCAAGAACACCAACCCATGGAACCTTGACCTATGCCAAACTACTCGTCAGAGAATCAGTTGAGTTCTCACTAAATTTTAAGCAAAGTGTGGATCAGTTCATGAATTTCAACAAATGTTAGGAGATTTCAAGTACCTAAGCCACAAGGCTAGTTCCTTGTGTTAACATGGAATAATCTCCCGCTCATGCCTGTTCATGAGAGAGAAGCAAGCAAGGGGAAAAAAGGACATACAAACAACAGAAAGAACCTGGAAGACAGCCATGTGGTTTGACAGCCCATTTCATGCCAATAAAAAGACCGATTTGCCTAGAACAACCATGGCTTAATTCGACAAGTTCATACATTCTTCAACTTTTTCTATTTTCTCCCAAGAACCAAGACTATCTCTAGGTCTCTGGCTGCATTTACAAGTTGGGTGGAAAATATATATCAAGCACAAAAAGAATGCCGCGGTGACTGGCTTGCATTGCCACAGCATTCACCCAGAAGGGCCTAGTTTTTTTGCAGAAAACATTTTTACATACAACAAAATTCAGTAAGAGGACAAACCTTCACAAAAAGCACTGAGTAAACACTCAAGAGAGAAGGCTAAAGGGAGAATAAAGACTTTTTCACATTAGATAGATGAAACACTGCAACTTTGGCTAAGATATAGGCCATCTCATTGACAACTTCTCAAATGTGAGGAGAACAAAATTTTCCAGTGCCTAATAGTATCGAAGACCTCCTCAAACAAATGTAAAAATTGTGGGGGGACAAGTGATCTTGGAAGCCCAAGAGATGACCTTAGATAAGTCGCATTCAACTAAGAGACGACCCTTAATGAGAAGTATTATGGGCCCTTGGGAAGAGATCTGGCTTCAAATCTATTCCAAAAAAACTGCAATGAAAATTAAGGGTCAAAAGTTATGGAGTGCCAAAATTTTTTGAGAAAAGAGACATGATTATTTTGGATTTGCCGCACAAAATGGACTTAAAAGAAGTTAAATGTGTATTTTTAAGATGTATTTTTCTAGGGGGGGTGCCAGTAAAATCAATGAATTACAAGCAAAACAAAGGATCCTTAATTCATAATGTAAGTAATAAAGTAATCAAATAAAGATCGTCATTAAGAAGGGTGTGGACCTTAAACATTCCCTCAACCTGTCTCATGTCCAGGTAAAGGAGTTGGGTTGTGTTAGGAGGTAGACAACGTAAAACTTCGTCAAAACTTATCATGAATCCCAACCTTGGAGGAAAAGTATTGTGGTACCTATTTAAGAACAAATGAGACATAGAATTGTGCAAACTATAGATGGATCAAACTTATGAGCCACACTATGAAGCTCTGGGAGAGAGTGTAAAAGAGCAATGATTAAGACATAAAATGAGTGTATCAAAAAACCAATTTGGTTTTATGCCAAGGAGGTCAACAACCGAGGCTATTTTCCTACTTAGGCAACTGATTAAGAAGTTTAGGGCAAACGGAAAAGACCTCCACATGGTCTTTTATTGATCTAGAGAAAGATTATGATAGAATACTTCGTGATTTAATTTCATGGGTGTTGGAAAAGAAAGGAGTCTCCAAACACTACATTGACTTGGTGCGAGATATGTACAATGGAGCACTAATTAGTGTACGAACTAGTGGAGAAACAAGTTTTCAGTAGTAATAGATCTACATCAGGGGTCAGCATTGAGCCCATACCTCTTTGTCTTAGTTATGGATGACTTAACTAGGCACCTACAAGATGAGGTACCGTGGTGTATGTTGTTTGCAGATGACACAATTTTGATCTATGAAACCCAAAACAACGTCAACACAAAGTTAGAACTCTGGAGGGATGTTCTAGAATCAAAAGGTTTTAAAATTTAGAGACAAGCTTTTTTTTATTACCGTACCTGCCCTGACCTTACTCGCCTAAAGGAACAAGTGGAGTGAGCGAGCCTTAAAACGAGTCAACTCCATGTGAAGGTAAGTGTATCATGGTGACCAGAACGGGTAGGCCGGACTAAGACATAGTATATGGAATGCAAGTTCAGTAATAATAGGAGTAGAGACAAGAAAGTAGTTAAGATTGATGGCCAAGAAATACCAAAAAGAGCGTACTTTCGATATCTCGCGTCAATAATCCAGGATAATGGAGAGATTGAGGAAGATGTCGCTCACAGAATTAGAGTTGGGCGGACGAAGTGGAAATTTGCAAGTGGAATTTTATATGATCGCCGCATACCAATGAAGCTGAAGGTCAAGTTCTATATAACAACTGTGAGACCAACTTTGCTCTACAGGGTGCACTATTGGGCAGTCAAAAAATAATATACCCATAAAATGACGGTAGCGGAGAAAAGGATGTTGAGATGAACAAGTGGTAAGATAAGTAGTGATAGAATTTGAAATGAATACATCCGAAAAAATTAGGTGTGGCACCAATAGGCGATAAGATGAGAAAGACCTAAGTGGGCAGGTCATGTGTAGTGCAAACCTAGTATAGCACCTGTTAGGATGTGCGAGTTAGTTCAAGTGGAATGTTCAAAAAGGGTATGGGGTAGGCCCAAAAAGACATGGTTGGAAGTAGTAAGAAAAGATATGGGGACTTATAGGACCCTTAATAGAGCAAACTTGCGGACCAGAATTCGTGTAACCAGCCCCAATTAGTTGGGAAAACACTTTGACGATGATGATGATAATTAAGACCTCATTTTTAACCAGTAAAATCATTCTACCAATAAAAATGATGAAGGCTTATACAATAGAAGTATGCATATCAAGTTTTATGGCTTTGAGAGATCAAATGTAAAAGGAAAGCAAAATTTAAAGAGAGAGAGAGAGAGATGGTTGAATATACCTTCGTCCCTAAACCAAGGGAGATAGTCACAAGTACTTTAATGTAGTTTTAAAAATATCTTTTAGAAGTTTTATAAGATAATATGGCAATACTTCATTTTATTCAAAGCGAAAAAAGCTCTTGAAGATTTTAAAATGTGTCTTGGAGAACAGTCCTTCTAAAAAAGTCAAGTTTCAAAAGGAGTATGGCTAAACTACAGTTTGAACCCCATAGAATGCTTCTTCCCAAGCAGGGAAGATTAAGAGCATTGTCGTTTAGAAAGGTGATTAGACCAGGTGGACAAATCAATGATGTTGTGCCTGTGTATGAACTCCGAAAAGGCTTCTCCTCCGTTGTTCTCAAAGGACCAGCGTACACCAAAGTCATCCCCTAGACACCAAGGTATTCAGCCAGAAGCTATTACGTCATCGCGCTCAATGCAAAGGAGCTCCCTGAGCTGAGGATATTTGGGCTGTAAACTGCTGAAAACTGTCATCCAAATCCATCAGATAGGACAGAAAAGGAATTTGTACCTGCAAAACAACCAACTCGGGACTCTATAATAACATAATTGTAGGACAACAAAGAATCCTGATGCCTAATGAAACCCTTGGGCTAGAAGACCAGATCAAGCAGCAGGTCTACGGCCCAAAAAGAATAGAACTTAAATCGAAAAGGAGTGTCTTTTTTTCTCTTGGAAATGATGATGATATTTGACAGGTAGGTATGAGAAAAAACAGAGTTCGAATATTGGGGTAGCCTAAAACCCCTCACATTCCACGCAAGAATCCTAATGAGGAAGGATCCAAGGTAAGGTGCCTGGCTGAGCCTCAACAATGAGCAGAGACTAAGGTTTATCATAATTTATTTCACAGGCGAAATTCTTGAGTTCCCTATTTCCTTTTCCTTTGGCTTTCAATCCCTTGTCTATGTTTGGTCCCCCATTGATAGTGCTTGCCCATAGTTACCGGCATATCCCAACCAAGCGGTCTATCACGCTCCAAAAGCTTGCTCCTATGCTCCAGATAGGGGAATCATGCTCTTCTGCGATTTTTGAACATTCAGATCTTGATCCTTCCGATTAGGGATTGAGATCCCAAGTAACATGGGATCCATTTCTTTGCATCATATCTAAGGGTCAATAGGAAAACAGAAATGAGGTTCCACCAACATGGGATCAAATTGCCTGAGTAGTAGACCCTATTGCTCCTCTTGTCCTCTTTAATAGATAATGGACCTTGAGCTTCAATTAATGCTAAGTAATGGCTGTTTTGCATAACTAATTGACATTTTTAAGTATTATATAATACATTAGTTGCACGTTTTGTTTACAAAATTATTACAACCTAGCTAACCATAATATTATATACTGAAATTGAATTTGTTGGTTTATATTTTATAATTACTTAGTATACAAATAAGAATAAATCTAAAATGTCTTATAATATCATCTAATTTAAAAAATCTTACTTACAACAACAAGAAAAATAATACATTACATAATTTATGATACAAGATTTGGTTATCAATGTATAATTATTAATTATGATATAATAATAAATTCAGTCATTGAAATAAGAAAATCAAACATAGGTGACCAATGACAAGGCTATTTCAGAATTACACGTAAGATCTCAATAATTTTTAAGTTTAAACTCAAAACATTTGGCATTTTTGAGGAAAGCATTAATTAGTTATTAGCATAAGGTTTCCTATGAAGCGTGGATACCTAGTTCAATGTCAATCCTGTGTGTATCTATTATATTCTAATCATAGTACATAATTTTCCTTTTATTTAGTTATTAATTTATTTATGAATTTGTTCCTTATCTCGCCACAATAGTGTAGACCCACGAGTGGTTACCACATATTATAAATCTTTTGGAAAAGCAAGGCGCTATTGGTTGTTGAATGTTTAAAAAAGAAATATCGCCATACTCCTTCGATAGAAGATGAATAAATGAGCTTGTAAAAGATTTGTCCCACATCAAAGAGATGTGGGAGCAAATGGGCATATAA